AAAAAAAGTCACAATTGAAGAGCGAAAACAATTAGAAACAACACAAGTAACACTTAGTTATAAAGCTACTGTTGTTCTCAGGTGATATGTCTCTGCTCCTAAGGTGGTGGTTGTCTCCACAGTCATTTTAAATGAAGTAAAGCATAAAACGTTTTAAGTGCGGGGTTTTCATTGTGAGACAAACACGGGTCCTTGCGTATTTTCTCTTTGCTACTTCTTCGAAATGCCGTTCTTTATTTTGTACTTGCTTTCCTTGACGCCTTTCGCTCACATAATTCTTCAACTAATTGGTATCTGCTGCCATTTTCGCAGCAAATGAAAAGCACATGGCGTTGAAGTGCGCCTGCGATCCCAGCTTTGGAAGAAGCCGCTGAAACTAATGGCGCGCAGTGAACGCAGTATCGACGTGTCGAAATACATTCAATTTTTTCAATTATCGTGTAATATTCAGTCATTATTTTACTGGGGACGGAAAGGTGAGTTGTATACTAGCTACCACATCCAATTGATTTCCTAATATAAAGATTTAAAAACAAAAGTTGTGTCGTGGTTTTCTTTAGTTATTGGACAAAATGCGAGTCGCCAACTGGCAACCAGTTCTGAAAATTTAGTCGCCAGTGCTCAATTTTTGGTCGCATTGGCGACCAGTGAGTTGCAATCTCGAGCCCTGCTTTAGACTTTTTTTAGAGGACCCTCCTGAAAACCACCTCTAGGTGATTGGTGGCCTCCTCTTAGAATGTTAATTTATTATATTAGTATTATTATCATTATCATTATCATTATCATCATCATCATTATCATTATCATTATTATAGTAACAAGTGTTATGGGTTATGGCCCTTAATGACAGCCCTGTTATGTGTCTAAATAAATGATTGATTAATTAATTAATCGACTGACTGATTGATTGATTGATTGACTGTACTCAAGAGTTTGACATCTACTTCCAATACAGTACAATTATCTGTCTTTAAATACACATAAGCCCAGACTTGATTCAGAGCAATAGAAATGTTAGTTTTTTGCATGTGAATCTTGTACATGAGTGGGGAATAAATCCTAGTTGAGTCTCCACGCCCTAAGTAAAAGAGCTTCTATACTGCCATCGGGATGGATTTAGAGGGGCAAAGGAAACCCTTGTATTTGCGAAATTAAATGATCAACTATCGTTAGAGCACCATTAAACAATCAGGGGTTTATTTACTTTATTTATTTCCAGAACCTTCTATATTTCAAAAGGATTGGGGCAGGGGGTAGCTTGTTCTCTTCTACAATTTCTTTGGTCCCCTCTATCCGAGTTTTCTGGATCCGCCCCTGGGCATGATTGTGCAATCATGTGCACTCCTCTCCAAATGTAAATAAGCAAAAGATCCACAACACATTTACAATAACGTAGTTTAAACAAATGAGTATGTCATGCATCAAATGCCAATTAGATTTTTTTTCACTGTACATGGGAAATTCAAAATCTAGAAACTTCCCAAAAGTTTCCTTTATAAGGTATATTACTGCTGTGCTGGTGATTATAAATATGCGAATGACGTTATCGCAAATATACTTTTATCAGACAACACGACGATGCGATCCTAGCAACAGGTCAAGCAATTAGGTTATTGCACGAATGACAAGAATGCTAACACAAAATAAATAACCAGATGTGGGGTTGAAACACATTATCACTTGATGAACAAACTCAAAAAGACCCGTAGAGCTGAGAGAGTAATCTAAAAACAAAACAAAAAACAAAGAAATACCTATCAGCGAGTATCATATCACGATTTGATTAATTCCGCAAAGCGGCAGCGAGGAAAGTTGCAATCATACACAAGAGTTCGTTTACTTCATGAAAAATTTACTTTGAAATTATTGAGCTCATCTACATGATAAAACAGAAATCTATCCGATTATCGGCTGGAACAATCACAGCAATGATATTCTTTGGCTATCAACTTAAAAATTATAACGCGCTATTATATTGTGGACAATAAAAACTATCGATTCCGTGGTTGGTCGTGGTTGCATTCCAATCGGAGAAAATTTTCCCATAAAAATGGAAATACGGACTGACTCGAAATACTAATTATACTTTACAATTATTAGAAAAAAGTTCCTGTGGTTTTGAAAAGGGACCAATACTAGCCAAAATGGAATAAACTGAACTCTTCTGATGTAAACAACGATTAAATATAGACCCTATGTCCGCCCGGAAAGAAGAAGCATCGATCGGCAAGTTTATATCCTTGACCAAAAGAAAATAAAAAACCTTGAATGTAAATTTGAACCGGTAAGGTAGAATTACAAAACGGCATTTGCACAACCAATTCAAATCACAACGACAAAAGTATTTCACGTCAATATTTTATGCTACGCTAGTTTGGAGCTTCGAAACTTCGAAACATAGAACCTCTGTCAGCTTAAAATCCAATTTTCGAGTGAACACGGGTCGTTATACGACTACCAATTTCCCTAAAATATTAAGGTTAAGAATAAAATAATCTTTACTGAAAGCGGCCTCTTGTTTGCAGTGTTATGAAAACAACGTTCAACGAAGGTCCGAAGACGCAAATAGACAACCAAACAGCTTGGACCACCTTGTCACTTGCGTTTTGCATGGTTGACTCGCTTCGCTTGAGAAATCTATATCGCTGTCTGTTTGTACATAAACTTTTCGCTTACCTTGATGAAGTGACACTACCAAGCTATAGCACACAATATTTCCGTCGTGGATTTGAACGTTCTCGCGCTATTAATTTCTGCACATGACCACAGAATGACTGATATTTCTGCTCTCGAAAGTTCCGCCTTCAAGAGACCGTGACTTGCTCTCTATGAATGAATTTCCGGACCGCGCGCTTTTAATAGTCCACTTGGCGCGTGAAGACTGAGAAGCAAAAGTTGATGCCGGCCCTCCCGCAAATTCCTCTCAACACCGAAATTTTTTGCAAGCCAAACGTTAACAGAGTTATGTTTGTCACGACAAAAATACAACTATCCAAGGTTCACTCCACTGAACTTGTCACTTTGGTGTTTGCCAAAAAAACAAAAAGTATACGAACCTCGATCCCAGCCTACATTGTTTTACGAGGAAAAGGTGAGAGAAAGCCTGGTATCAAAATGAGCCTGCAATCACATCAGCTGTTGCTCAGTTACTCACATTGCCCAGGAATTGTGGGAGATTTCAAGATGGCGGCAACTTCGAGTATTTTCGCCAAGTCAATATTTTCGTCCACTTGATGGATCTGCTGTATTCTCTTCACGACACGCGCATAGATTGGCTTTTCTATTGTAATGGCTACGTTTTTCTTGTGAGATGACATCTGTATCGGGGTGCCATTGCTCATGCGGTGTAACAGAATCACCGTGATCTTGTCTTTGGGTTTCCTTGTAGTGGTGTTGGTCTCCGTTAACGTTTTTTTATTAACCCAGCTACAGTCTAAAGAACGGCTCAATCGAAAAGAAACCTTTTTCAAGGTAAGAAGTTTAGGTTTTTCCATATCGACTTACCTACAGAATACAGGGCCACTACAAATGAGCCGGCTCGTTTGACTCGTTTGCTTCTTTTAGTCCTTTGTTTCGAGAAAAGACTGGCTCATCACCCCGGGCCTCCTCTACTGCTGAGACAAACGCCCCAGGACTCATCCATTGCCGAGCCAAACGAGCCACTAAATATATAAACTTAGGACTTGATGCGCAAATAGACGATTCCTGTTGCAGAACCAAACAAGCTGCTAAATACTGTATATATACATCTTCAAAAGTGGCCCTGTACCGACAGTGCAGTTGCTTTTGTGGAGCAACTACAGAATTCAGGGCCACTTTTGAAGCACTAATATTTGAGTGGCTCAGCGGCTCGACGGATCGGTAGTTTGTCTTTGTGTTTAAAGATATCTTTTAGTAAGTGGCTCAGCAGCTTGTTGGCTCGCCAGTTGGTTGCAATGGTTAAAGAACAAGCAAGGTATATGTTTTTGTGGCTCGGCAGCTTGACGGTTCGCCAGTTGGTTTCATTGTTTCGTGAATTAGTAAGGTATATTTCTTAGTGGCTCGGCGGCTTGACAGCTCGACACTTGACTGCTGAGCCGCCAAGCCACTTGTGTAATACTTCTTTAGAAGTGGCCCTGTATTCTGTAGTTTAGCCGCTTTTGTAGGGGTCTACATGTTTATAGGGCATCCATCTTGTCACAAATGGCTCATGGGAATTCCCACATTTTTGTGGCACATACTCAAGGGAGGTGGGTGTGTGGGGTGGGGGCTGCAAGTAGACCCTCCAATGCCCCCCTCCCCTCAAACCATAGCAAGACTACATGTAGTAAGAGGTATATCCCACAGGTGGTTTCTCTTGCTTGGGATTTTGTATATCTGGAGAACCTGGCTTGTAACTCGCATCTTTGCTGCTTGCGTGAAACTCCAAACATTCCTGCTCACATGTCACTACATGTGGGAACATTGCTACTCCACCAGGATGGAGTGTTAGTTCATAACTTGCAGGTTACGTGCAGCATTTTCTCATATTGCCATATGAATTTAACAGTATGTATTTCTACTCCCGGGTAGTAAGTGACACCATAAGAGTGTGTCTTGCCCAAGAAGTCAATATAATTATATCAAATGCTGGCCAGATGTGAATCTAATCTTTCTCCAGAATCCAGTAAACTGACTCTTAGTGGTACACTGTGCCTTTTAATTTCACGTGCCTTGTTTGTTTATCACCTGGATATGATGTTGTCAATAGTAACAAAATTGTATGTAGCTTCTTGATCAACATTTTTGTTTGAGAGTTAAGCAGAAGTTTTTTGGTCTTACATGTATTACTTACAGGATCTTCTTGAGACAAAGGTGGACTTCAGACAACTTCCCACAGACTCTTCCGGCCAGTACAGAATACAAGTGAACTTCTTACCTTCAGCAATTCAGCCAGTGAAAGGCCAACATGATGTGACATTAGTTACTCATTGCACTTCCAACCATCTTCATTACCTCCTGGATCTCACAAAACACTGGAAAGGGCCAATATCATTAGGTGTGTTCTGTTGTTCTTTTGTTATCTACATGTACTACTTGAAGTCCCAATGTTTCATAATTGGCAGCAAGTTTCTCCTTGAAAATTTACATAACAGAATTTATGTTTGGAGGAAAATAAAATCTGACTCTAAGAGTATGCACAGATACTCATTTTTGGAGATGATCTCTAAGGCTAAGGCTACACATGCAAAAAGCTCTTTGCTTCTCTGAACAGCTTTTTTTTTTGGAACAAATATCAAATATGCACTATGTATGCCTATTTACCCATATGCCAAAATAGTGATTAGTGTTTCATATTATTTTGATCAATGATTTGGTTAACAACCTCTGACAAAATGGCCGGATATTAGCCAATTTTTTTTTTTATTCTTACTTTTTTACATGCTCCTAGACCTATATTGTATGATTATGTATCACAGCAAATGTGTACAACAAATAAATATAAGAGACTGCAAATCTTAAAAGAGTGTTTATTACCAGTAATAAACATTACACCTCAAACACTTCAAATCCAAAAATTGGGCCATTTTCATCCCATCCCGCTATTGTACACTCTCGCTGAGTATTACAAACACCAAACGATGGTGAAATAAGAGTTAACTGTAACCCCTTCTCACTTGTTTACTTGCAGCTGTGTTTGTGCCTGGTTATGATGTTGTTACAACCTACGCCACTCTTCTTGGCCTCAATCAGTGTGACCAGATGTTTAGGGATCGCGTGACAGTGCATTTGGTGTATCCACTGTCACATCCTCCTGCTGGAAATGTACTTGAGCATCAATTGAAACAAGCACTGAGTCACCTAGAAGCTAACTGTAACGAGTTTAAAACAAGACTCAACAACAATGACATTGCAGGAGAACACAACTGGAATTATGCCAATGTCAAAGTATCAGAAATCTAATTCTAAAACTGTTTTTTGATACCATGATTAATTGTAGTAGCATCAACTAATAAAGAGTGTTACAATAATCGGCATCAAAATCCATGTCTTAAGAAAGTGCTGGAAACCGTTTTGAGCTACTTTAAGTAATATAATTAATACTTAAAACTACAGAAAGTGTGAGGAAACCAAGGAGAAACTAAAAAGTTTCTTGTATGTAATTCAGCCTCCCATAAAATATTAAAATAAACTACAGAAGATGAATACAAGCTAGATTAGTAAGTTTATTCATACGACATCAAGCAGAAATTTGAGAGCAGCTATTGCAGCTTGACTTAATTACCCCGGGGGGGGGGGGGCACTGCCATATATGGGCTATATAGGTTTGTGCTGCTATGAAGGGTATGGTTTTCAAGCAGTTTACTCTAGTATGGGGTATATAAACCAGAGCGTTTAGGTGTAGAATAGGGTATAATTTTTCACAACACTGACTAGTTGATTGAAAATTTTATCTAGACTAAGGAAACCAGGAATTGCCACTCAAAAATATAAAAAAATCAAATCAGCAAGTTTAAATTTATGCAAATCAGCCTCAACAGTGTTGATAGATAGGTGGATTTGGGGAGTTTACTCTAGTATAGGGTAGCAAAATTCAGCTGAACTAGCTCTGGTATAGGCTAAGGGTTCCAGGGTCCCAGCGGCACACCCCCACCCAGAAATTCCCAAAGTACCCCCCCCCCCGGGTTAATTACCTGGCAGTAAAGGACACCACAAGATGCCCTGAAAATCCTTCACTGTTAAGGCAGTGTAAACTGCAAGAAGGCCAGACATTGTCCCCATCCTCCCAATGTTCTTTGACAGTTTCTTACTAGAACAAATCTTCCAACACTGAGAACATGTTTAATTTACTTCCTTTAAGGTACCTTACCCAAACAACATGTTAAGAAATGTGGGACGCTCTGGTGTGCCCCAAACAAACTACATATTTGTTGTTGATGTGGACATGATGTGTAATGGAAACCTGTATTCCAGCTTCCTTGGATTAGCACAGGGTCTCAACCTCTTTGCAAACAGTAATGGTAAGGAATTTATGATATTTTTCTTAGCTCTTATTTTTCAGGAACAACTTTGACCTGACATTTTGAGTAAGGAAAGTACAGTAACTGAAGCAAAGCTGTTTGGTTTTTATTTCAGATAAAAAAGTATTTGTTGTGCCTGCATTTGAAACTGTGCAAAAGCTATCACCTTCACTGTCAAAGAAAGAATTACTTGACCTCTGGAACTCTGGTACTGTGCAGCCATTTTACTATCAAGCATGTTGGAAGTGCCAAAAACATTTAGACTACGAGGCATGGAAAAGGTACATATCATAGCTATGAGTGTTATTTTTTTGTGGTCTACTCAGAGATGCTCTTAGGAGTGGCACTAAAAGTGCTGTAAGTAAGTTTGGGAATAAGAAATGTTGTGGGAACATGAGCTGCAGTCGAGTGTTTCCACAGCTTTCACCTCTGTCAAGCTCTCCCAATCTTTTGTATGTCGTGTCTTTATAAATCGACAGAAAGATCAGACAGAAAATGTTTTCTTTTTCCTTTGTTCACACTAACATTAACAAATTAATGTTGTGTCCAACAACTTGTGATGGCTCTGTGTTTCTGCTGAGTTTTAGAAGTACATGTAGGACTTTTAACACTGTCTCTCTTAATGCTAAATAATACTTCTGAGATGCACTGAATGGCACAACCACAGCCTGATGTTTGTGTCTTTATTCTTAAGGTCTTTGCTAAGAATTAAACCACCTTGAGTACAAAGTAATACTAAAGTTCTTGTTTCTTGCTTTTCCAGTTATCATTCCTCAGACAGTAGTAACTTACAGATAGCTTACAGTATAGACTGGCAGGATCCCTGGGAGCCATTTTACATTGCACCTAATCATGTTCCTCTGTATGACGAGAGATTCAAACAGGTAACTATGTACATTGTACTACCTAAGAAAGCAGTAAGTTCTAAGTAAAAAAGGCATTCACCGTTTGAAAGAATCAGTCTCAAGTGATGGAAAACTCCTCCATATTGTGATCTACGTTTCAGTTTGAAAATGTACAGAACATTTTGAAAATAGGTTGGTTTCTTGATTTTTAACATCACCAAGCACCAATTCCATCATTTTTTCTTTGTGTACAGACTACTGTTTGATATGTTTTAAACTGGCTTAGGTAGGAAAGATTCGAATTTCATCATACAGTCAAACCTTCGGTTGCAACCACCTCTCCTCAGCAACCAGTTTTCCAAAATACCAAAAGTTTTCCAGTCAAATCACTATATTTGGAACCTCTTGTAAGTGACCACCTCTCATAAGTGACTACAACCACTTTTAGAGCTAAAAGTTTGCAATTTTCTTTTGTTTTTAACCTCCCGTAAGCCACCACTTGAGAGATAATAGAGAGGAAATTGGATAAAAAGGAGTTCTCGCATTCCTGGATTGTATGAGAGGTGGAAATTTCTCAACGGAAAGAACTGGATTTTTTTCTTAAAATTGACTTTTTACATTCATGGATAAAACTTTGCATCGGTATGGGGTAAGTCTCTGCAGTTAACAAATTCTAATGAGGCAAAATTTTGGCCCAACATGGTCTAAGCTTTCATAAGCGACCACCTCCAGTAAACGACCACCTAGGCTTGACATTTTGGGTGGTCATTTACGGGAGGTTCGACTATAGTAGCACTTAAATAAAAAATATTGAGTGACTTGTTTAACTTTGGTATGTATTCCTCAGTTTACAACTTCATACAAACTCAAAACACTGTGAAGTTTCCTCAAGTGAAGAAAAGATCAACAAACTATGTACATAATAACTTTAATTTCAATCATGTTTTTGTTTTGTTTTTCCAGTATGGTTTTAATAGAATCAGTCAAGTCTGTGAGACTCACATTGCTGGCTATGACTTTGCGGTCCTCAGCAATGCTTTTCTTGTTCATCATGGTTTTAAAACAAAAGAAGGATTCCATTCTGCTAAGGATGAAGAAAATAACCGTAACCGAGGCATTTTTAGGACTTTTAAAAAGGAACTGAAGTTGAAGTATCCCCAGTCAACAAGACACTGCTGAGACTGCTGAGAGAAACAAATATTGCCAAACAAAAATATTAAAGCATAGCTTGGCTTGTTAGTCTGCGTGAAAAGGTTAGCTACAGTGGATCAATGTCTATGGTGAAATTAATAGCGAAGCAATCTAGTAGTCCTTCTGAAGCAAAATTATGTGAAAGATGTTAGACGCAGAAGATTTGACAGGAGGGCTTAATGTTGAAGTGGCCTAATGAAACTCACTGTGAAAAATGCAATGGTTGGTGAGCAAGTGAGTAAATAAAATATTTATCACATACACAACAACGCACTGCAGTAAAGATACCTTACATGCAAGATCATCACATGACTGCAACTTAGGAAGTTACAAAGAAACACAGGCCTCACCCAGTCCCCAATTGGCTTGATGGATTAGTTAGTGGAGCATTGCACTGGTATTGCAGTGGTCATGGGTTCAAATCCCATTCAACTTGAATATATTCACCATTTACTGGTATGGAATACTTCCTCACAAACTGACCAGCTCCATACCATAGTTGGTAGAGCACTGCCTTGCTACTTTAGAGGTGACAGATTATGGGTTGGAATCCAGTTTAAGCATGAATGTTTTTTGCAGCTTTACTTTTGCAACTTACTGGGTTGCATTCACAACTGTACTGCAATGATCACTCATGAAGTATAACAATGATTGGTGTTTGACTATCCAACATGTACTTCAAACAACTTGTGTTGTCCAGATATTTATATTATTAAACCTACAAAATTCACTGTGATTTGTTCTTTTAACGCAATTTTCCCCTTTGACCATCCTCCCAAAGAGCTTACATCTGATAAATTAAAGGTAACAAAATGTTTTAAAAGTCATGTCAAGTTTAATATTAATTTTAAAAGTTGTTATCACAACAGTAATGTGGAGTATCTACAATGCATGTGACTTCCAGTACCTAAATACAGAAGCATCTATGAGCGATTAAGGACAGGGAAGTATCTCTATAATTTATTATGTATCTTACGATAATTGCAGTATGGAGTGACGTAAAATTGTGTCATGTCACTCTGCACATCACTAATTTTTTGTCTTGTTTACTGATGTGTTAAACTGTAGTTTTGACTGTGCCTTTGCCTTCTGTGATTTCTCAGGGGGATAACATAATTTCTGCACATGTCTTGCAATCACTGACAACCCTTTTAGCTGAATAAGTCAACTATAAGTCCTGGTATTATACACAGAAAGACTCTTGCCATACTTCATAAATAAAAATATTAAATATACATTGTTTCGGATTTATTTAGTTCACTGCAGTATTGTTTTGGGGTCCAAGTACAGGTTAAGTACTGTAATGACCATCTGTAAGAACACTGTTGTAATTAACATGAAAAGTGCCAATAGCATTATTTCAACAAAAATGAAATAATGCAAATATACTTGAAATGCCCTGGCAATGATGGATAACAAATTCAACTTCTACACAATTTTCCAATATAGTCTTCTAGGTAATTTTATGACTCTCCCTTACAGTAAGTTAGAAACAGCTGTAAGGGGAATGTGACATTGTTCTTCTTCTTTAGTTTTTCACTGTTACATGCAGTTATTCTTTCCTCTGGCAAGAGTGTGAAATACAAGCCAGAACACTGCCTTCCTTATGTCTCTCTTGTTAGTACAGCTTATGTGGATAAAATCGTTTTTCAGGAGTTGGGGATTCCAGTGTTGGTTTCTTTGGTGGTGAAACGAGCCGTGGGTTGGGGGTCAAATAACCTTTATGGACTTGTGTGTCCTCAAGATTCGATGCCTGATCAATACCATCAAGAAAGTCTAGAATATCAAATGAGGAACTGCTTTGTGCAGAAGGAAAGGCTTGTATATCTGTGCCAGAAATGTGAGAGTGAGAGTCCTGTTTTCCAAATAAACATCTTTGAACATCCCTGCCATGTGGAAAATTATTTTCTTTTTCCTTTTCAAGTTTTCTCTCTCCACTTGTTACACCATTGTAAAATTTATACTGCAAAAAAAAAACCCATTCTGAAATTAGACCCCTGTTTTTAGTACTGCTTGGTATTTTTTTAGAAATAACTTTTCATAACTAATAATTATTAATCCTACCTTCTTGGTACACTTTGACAGGATATCAGCTAAGTTTAGTCAGGCCATGGTTCATATTTTTGCATGACACAATGCAAGTCTTAGTCCATAAAGTATCTATGGCAAGACCAAATGAGCCTAATATGCTGTGAAGCCCACTAGAAAGGTACCGGTATATGATAAGGTATCCACTGATAGCTATACCCAAAACTATTACTCAAAAACCTGGCAATATCGGGGCAGTGACTTAATATCATAAGAAACTGGCACAGTAGACAAGGCTTCTGACTGGCTTGTTGTCAAGAATTTAGGGTACAGTAATGTAATATCTACTGTTCTTAACTTCTGTTTGAATAATATTTTCACACACTTGAATTATAATTCCAAATTAAAATAAATTAAAACTAAACTGGTCCTACTAGAAATATGTTGTGTTCTTGGACAAGACATGGCTCTCAGTGCCTCTCTCCACCCAGGTGTATAAATGGGTCCTGCCAAATTTAATGCGATGGACTAGCATCCCATGGGGGGGGGGGGGGGGGGGG